CGTATAACCCCGTTACAAGAAGTTCCTCCTAGTTCCTTGAAACGGGTAGACTTCGTAGTCGTTTAGCTAGTTCCTTATAACTAAGTGGCTTTAAGCCAATAACTCTTAGTTCTATGGAACAAAGAAGCTCTCAGCCTATAGAGTCTTTCTATGACTTGAGTGCTGTGTAGCTCCGCTTCACACAGCGTAGAGTAACTGTTCTTCCGTCTTGTGACATTTATCGCACGGCCAATGTAGAGCCCAGTCCGACAGACATCTCGACTGCAAAGAACCTGAATGACCCAGCAACGACGGCAGTGCCAATGACTCACGGGCTTACGAAGGCAGATAGATGCCGATATTCGAGCATTGTCGACATTCATCCGCCAGTATTAGATCACCACGTTTCAGGTGAAATGTTTGTGGAGCGGGACGATCAGCGGCGCTGGCAAAAGCAGCATCCTAGACCCATAGGAAAACTATGTCGTTCTTCATACAACAACCACGCTCCAAATAGCTGAGATCAGCGGATTGTCTATAGTCACATGGGATTCGAGCTCTACCGCCAGGTGAAACTGCCCATGAGGATGATGGTAGACAATCAGGCAGCTTTCAAGCAGATAGAGAAGGAAGGACGCGACATCGAGAAGCAAAAAGCACGGGTGTGAAGTTTAAGTTCATACGACCACAAGCGAGAAGGGGATAGTGAAGCCAGGGTACGTGTGCGCTAACAAGATGCTTGCAGATGTGCTGACCGGGATTCTGCCAGCGCCATGGATCGTAAAGTTACGAGAAAGATCGATTTGAGGTGAACACGAGCGTCGTAGGAGGAGGATTGGACGGCGAGCTGGGTTTCGAGCTAATGCGATGGCGAGATTGCTGGCTTGTGCGCCGACCATGAGGTCTTGTAACAAAGGCACATGGGTCCGCAGGCTTAAAGATTGCGCCACATCATGACGTTGATGAAATGTGTGAGCGATTTCTTCGAGTTATCAAAGAATATATAATTGATGACTAGCTAATTTGGACCCAAGAGGTGTCAAGAGGTTGTACTCGTTTTCGGTATAATCACGGTTTTGGTCTTTCCCCACTTGTAGCTGCTGTGACGACATTATAGCTACTACGTCATATGCTGGAGCTGTACGCGAAGTTTATAAAGGAACTTGTGCAAAATATTCACATTTATATTTGTATATCAATAACGTATCCTTCATAAATCAAGGATAGGTCCTGCGAACATTGTCCCCCTTCAGCTGCAAAGCGGCGCCCACAACAACACGCGAACTATTGGCTGAAGACATGAAAAGACTTGAATCCGACGCATCCGATGTCCGATACTTTAGCCTAGGCTGCCCTTGATGAACATTAATACCAAAAGCACGTTGTCCTGAACCTTGGAGGATATTGGCACTCGCACCAAATGCTCTTCTTTCCCTCTGTTTGTACGTTTGGTCCTCGCTCAACATCACTGCGTGGAACAAAGTAGCATTTTCTGCAATCAACTTCTCTCGTTCGCTGTCCAGTCTACACCGCAAATCAGCTTTTCTTTCCAGCGACATCAACTGGTCGTTTTGATCCTCCAGTGATGCCTGTTTTCGTTTAAATTGAACCACGCGCCATCCAAAGTCACGATCATTTTGATATCTCTTTAGCTGGCACGGCATCACATTCGATGACGCATAGACTTTTTCAAAACGTTTCAAATCTTGTGCCATTAGCCGTGCTCGCTCCTCGGCAGCAGCTCTTTTGCGATTATTGCAAAGCCAATTATTAAACTCATCACGCGGACCAGCAATCATCTTCTCGTCAATATCAGCTTCTCGAAGCTTCAACTTGAACACCTGTCGCTCAAATGCATCGTGGCGTGCGACATGTTTCAACTTATTGCCATCACCGGAAAACGCATCACTTGCTATCACTCGAGATCTGGTATACGACTTTGTTGGGCTCCTCCTTGTACGTTCTGAAGCTGATGGCGCTGGCGGTACACGCCTTTGGCCGATGCTCTTATGTTTTCGAAAGTCGCGGGTTGCTAGCTCTGCGTTCGGTATTTCTGCTTCCATCATAAAGTTTCCAAATTTGTGACCATCTCGCTGTGGCGCGATCAGCTTCTCCTTGTTGTGTACGCTTCTTGAGCGGTGATAATCTCTGTTTTGAAGCTGGAATGTTTCTCGGTTGGTTTCCTGGGACCCGCGGCTTATTCTCGCAAATTCGCGGCAGCTCGGAAATTGTCTATACAAAGTTTCACCACAGGGCTGCGAAACTGACTTCAGCTCGTGGCTGTCATATTGACTGTATCTGGATTTGTGACGGTCATGTCTATCGCGGTCCCCTCGCGTAGCTTGCACAGACCGGGGAGATCGAGAAAAGCTCTGAGGCCTTTTGTAAGTATGACTGGATCGCTTTTCTAAATCATGGTGTTGCCGGCTTGGTACTTTTTCACCAAATCGGTGCGAACGAGAAGCAGTTGAAGCCCTACACGTGGATCTTGATTTTGTCCGTCTCTCCTCGCTTCGTCGACTTGGTGGAGGAGATCTGCTTCGACTTTTTCTTGAGAAATGGATCACTGGCGACGAGTCTCTTTTTGTGCGACCTTCTTGCTCTACAGGACAACTTGTTGGCAAGTTGCTACAATTCTTCCAATAACTTGATGGCGACCTGCTATAAGTTTTTCTTCGATTAGCCACTGGATACGTGCGCTCTGTTCTCCGACTAGACGCTATCATTTCAGATTTTGTTTCTCGATGACGTTCTGACTGCATTTCTAGTAGCAACGTATCGTTTTCGATTTCTGTAGCCTTTAATCTCGCTTGACTTCCTGTCAATTCCCATTGAGAATGAGTGCAAGCAAGTTCCATTTCCATCTCACTAGGCTCTTTTACTTCGTTTTCTAATGAATGCTTCATTTCCCCATCCATTGGCTTTGTAACTAAAGCAGGTGACAATGTCGCTTTTACTCGCTTTGGCGACCCAACTTCCAACTTGACGTCTACTTTTTTCCTCTTTTTTACAATTACCGTCTTCATTTTCGTTTCAGTTCTTGTCTTCGTTTCAACAGGTGACGCATTGCTAATTGTTGTATCAGTCATCAATGCGTCGTCTCTTTGTCTTGTTCTCGTCAATCCTCGTGCTATTGTAAGCGCTCGCTCCACTGCAGTATTATTAGATACTATCGATGCTACTCCATGGCTCCATTCACTGCCCTGTGGTAGTGATACCTCCCCGCATTCTTTTATTTCAAATCGATAGCTCTTGCATTCTAAATTGTCCTCTTTTCGTCGCGGTTTTGACTCGTTAAAAGGCTCCTGTGTGACAGAGGCGTCGTATTGATGTACCAGCGTATGAGCAGCTTCTTCCCCCTCTAGTTCGTCGGTTAACTCAAAGTAATACTCGCTCTCAGTCGAGCTGCCATCGTCATAAGAAACTCCACTAAGCTCCATCATTTGACTTTATATAGAGTAATGTTTAATGTAAGAACAGGCAAATACCGGTATGTACAGTATCCGCTACAAATTAATTTTTTTCGTGTCTTAATTCAGTACTCTAGCGGCTGGCTTCTCCTGAAATAAAGTGGCAGCTACAATGTCTCACTCCAATTCGTCCACGTTTGTCACGTCTGCTATAAATGTCCATACAAATTACGTATTAATTACATGTCGATCCTCATAACTCGTTCATTTCTCGATTCTATTCAATAAATATTCTGTGACATTGTACTGCACGCAAAGCGTAAGTCATTCACTCGTGGCCTTCTCCTCTACGTGTACTCGACCGCTTCCAATGCTGCACTGTTGACGTCAAGTTGCTCGCAAGTAACACATCTTTCTTTCCTCTCCCTATTAATAATTGCTAAACGCTTACAAAGCAGCGACTAGAGCCTCTCGGGTGTCATCAATTGTGCCAGGAATTCCTTCGTCGCTTTTTCTTCGTGTCCATAGAGTTTCGGCAGTACTGTATGAACAACTTACTCCGCGCTTTGCACAAACTCTAGTATATCCACTTGCACAGAAATCCAACTTATTCCCGTCGTACGAGACATATCGAGTTACGCTGGCACTTTGTTCGTGAGCAGGTCAAATTAAAGAAGGTGATTCTGGAAAAAGTTGCTGGAGTCGACAATCCTGCCGATTTATTTACGAAAGCACTCGATAAGAAGCGTCTTGCACGGTTGTCCAAGTTAATGGGCGTTCAGAAGGAAGATGTGCGAGATGGATATCTCGAGAGAGGCGTGTTGGAATAAGTTGAAGAACAGTGGAAGTTGCTGGCAGTTGGCAGTGGATGGCAAGGCATGTGAATGGCAGTTGGTGTGCTTCATGGTTGAAGGTATGAGAGGGGAGTCGTGCTGACGCAGAGTCCCAGGTTGTACTTGCCAACTGGCATAGGCCACGAAGAGATGTATGTTAGGACAGTAGGGCTTGTGTTGTATGGTAAAAATGAACGACAGTTCCGAAATTGCATCGTGTGACTCAAGTGCATATTACAAAGGGTTATGAGCCCAACTATGGTTCCTCAGGATAGCGGACAAGGTGTGAAGATGTATTCAAAGGATGGCATGCCACGTAACTTTTAAGGTCAGTACTGGCATACCTACAAGGAAATGGCGATGATGGCGCTACAAGACATCGACCAAGAACTTTGGGATGTTGCATGCGGTCATATCGGCCGGAAGTATCTCTCAACTGATGAAGGCAAGGCCAAGCTACAAAAGCTTGAAAGAAGACTTCGACGAGAGATTATGATGTCACTTTCGCCAGAGCTGGCGGAACTCTATAAGACGGAGAAGACAGGAAGTGCACTGTTTGCAACACTTTGCAAGCGGTTTGAAAATCGAGCAAATACAGTTGCGACTTTTCACGCTGTGCAACGTCTTGAAGAAGAGCTTCGCCGAATGCGATATAATACTGACATTGATATCGAGGATCATTTGCGTCAGATGAAAAACAAGGAGCTTGAACTGGCGGATTATGGAAGAAAGCTCTCGTTTACGACAATGATGATGTATACGCTACAGAGTCTACCCAGCACGATACCAGAATTTGGACTGATCCAAACGCAGAATTGGTGTGGAAATTCACCAGCTAAAGATATGGACGAGTTGGAGGAGCAGATTCGTGCAGCAAGCTCAAGGTATCAAATTCGAAAGTCAACTAAGGGATTTTCACATGGAGGGTATCTACAAGGAGAATATGCAGGGTCAAGAAAAGTGGACAAAGCGAGAAAGAAGATAACACGTACATGAAGCTGTCTGGCGCTTTGTCAGAAGCCTCCGGTACGAACATACGCGGCTTGTTGCGGATGTAGCGCGCTAACTCGGGCATTCCGCCGAACACGCGTCTAGCGATGCCCAAATTACGTAGTGACACGTACTCAGAGTCGATGTCAAGCCACTTACGCGAGTTGCTGGAGAAATTGCGACCGCTGGAAGGGGCCAATGCATCGACGTACAAGACGCTGAGTCGTCCATCGCATAGTATAGTGTCATAAATGGATTGTCAAAAAGAGGTTGTCAAGAACCACTCATTTTGGAACGATAATTGACAATGTGGGCTTGACAAAAAGTAAAATTTGTATTATTACTACTGTCATTTTGACAAAACTTGGAATGTACCTTGAAGTGTGTCAAAAAAACAATAGAAATGGCGGTACTTTCATTGCTTTCTTTGCTGTTAGCGACGGCTGCACGATTTCCAGCATCTATTGAGGCCAAGTGCGTGATGACACAGACGTGTGTGAATCCAGATAATATCCCAGACTACGACCAATGCATCCCCGAAGCATACAAGAAGCCTAAAGATCCGCTTCCTGTACGATCTTTAAAATAGAGTACCTTAAAATAAATTAATTTTGACAGTTTTTCTAACTTACAAAATAGATGACAGGAGACGGCTGGCCAAGCGTTATCGGTGGCGGTAGCTGTACTAATGCCACCGACTGCAATGGTAAGGGCCAATGTGTCAATAATGTCTGTGTCTGTCGTCGAGATGGTATGGCCGCTGGTCCTTATTGCAATCAATTTACTATCCAGTGTCCCGCCTATAGAGCCAAAGCCTGCTGTTCATGGCAGCAAAATCAAGCCATGGCCGAGAACTTTAGATTAATGGCCAGTGTCTTTGCCAAGAACAGTGCAGGAGGCTGTGACGCTTGTGCTGTGAATCTCATGAGTTTATGGTGTGGTCTCGTGTGTTCACCAGAGCAAGACCAGTTTATGGAGATGACTCATGCCTGGCCAAGTATTAATTACCGACCGGATCCAATGACGGGAAAGGAAAAAGTGAAAGTGTTGGAGCTGAATGTGGCACTAGACAAAGACTTTACGTGTGCCATTTTCGACTCGTGCAAGAACACGGCAATTGTGTCCATGGCTGCGGCAATGAAATCTTCACTTGGATTTCTGAATTATCAGATGCAAGTTGGAGCTGTGGGTCATGGAGAATACATTGCCATGCATTTCAACGCCAGCAAAGACAGGTCGTTTGACCACAATGTGCTCAAATGCTCGAATTATTCAGAAGTTGAAGCGATACGGAAGACATTACCGACGCAGGCACAACTGCTAGAGTCAATCACTTCCAAGTCTAGGGACGACAAGCAATGTCCGTGTGGAGCATGTCGTGCAACGTGTGACACGCACACTAGCGGTGGTAGCCACATTCATGTTGTCGATGACCCAATTTCGATGCTATCTGGCTTTAGTACCAAGCTTGTCGCGACTGTCTACGGACTGCTCGTGATTTTCATATTTGTCTGGAAAAGATGGAAGGATCAATGAGTTTCAAGCAGTTTCTGGTCCATTGTTCGTGTCCATAACAAGTTGGTGCGAGTAAGGACACTTCAAATGACAACCTTCTTCAATCGCATTGTAGTGATGTGCTCTTTAAACCGAAACGATAGCTCCGCGCTGTCTAGACAATTCTATTGCCACCGCAACAGCATCCTCTCCTTGAGCTTCCTTCAAACTATCTCGAAGTACAGAACACTGAATCTCTAAACTTGCAACCAACACCAGGAGGTCGTCAACGGTCGAGTCATTACTGTTCTCAAACTCGGTGGGTCTCCGTGATGATCCATTCGCACCAAAGAGCTTGCCGTTCTCCCCTTTATTGGCGCCCTCCTTCGTATGACAAGATTCCAGCTTCTTCTCGAGCTCTACCTTGGCAAGGGATAAGCTCGCCACCACGTTCTCAAGCTCCTTCACTGCAGCCTTTGCATCCTTCTTCTCGAGGAAAACACTCGCTAGCTCGTCCTTCACTTCACGAAAAGTTGCATCGTACTTTTCCTTGTCACGCCGTGACTGAATTTCGTACCCTGCCACCAGATCCTGTAGGAACGAAGCTTGCTTCGCTTGTGCTTCGTGCTCTTTCGCTACTACCTCCATTTCAACGACAAAGGCACGCAATTCCTTTAGTTCACCATGTTCGGTAGATCCGTGCTCATTTAGACGACGATCCACAGTATTTACCCCCCAGGGTTTTTTGTCGCTAGGTGCCTCAGTGCTAAGCACCTCGTTGGTTAGTGGCGCATCCTTTAGTAAAGCAAGAGGACTTGCACGTCGTGCTTGCTCCACTTCTTGAATTCGTTGCCGCAGCAACTCTTGATCTTTCTCGTAGGCGGCGCGTGCCGCAGCTTCCAGCTCCTCAACGCGGTCCTCCAAACGTGCCTTCGCATCCACGACACCTTGATATTCGGCTTCATCAATTTGGCCAGATTCGGATAGTGCCTCTGCTAGCTGTGCCTTCAACCGTTCATTGTCATTCTTGGTTAGTGCCAGACCTTCAGTAAGCATCTCAAGCATCTGCTTACATTCAGCTAGCTCTTCGTCCTTACGTTCGCTTTCCACACGATACTCTTCAAGCTGTTTTGTAAGTCGTGCACATGCGAGCTCACCTTCGCTTCTCTCACGAAGAACATGAGTAGCTGCTGCATCTTTAAAGCCAGCAATCTCACTATGCAATCGTCGGCTGACCTCCCGTTGCGCGTCCAGATCAGCCTGTGATGTGGCAAGCTGTGCTTTTAAACTATTCAATTGCACTGAAGAAGATTGCACCTCCGGTCTTAAACGAAAGACTGCGAGTTCCTCTTCCCTTTGTTTGTGTTCTGCTTCAAGCTGCTCATAATCCATTGTGAGTCCATTCAGACGAGTCTCCGTCTCGAGTGCCGACTTCGTCATACATTTGATTTTGCTCTCCATATCTGCTTTTTCACGCTCAAATAGCTCGCGTTGAGCAATCAGCTGCTCTGCCAATGCTTTGTCTGCGTGCGGGCTTGTGGCAGGAGTTTCTTTGTCATGACTTTCTTGATCCATTGTGCACTGCTTCAATACTTCTACTTGACGTTGCAGATCGCAAATCTGTTTGTCCTGCATACGGATGAGGTCCTGATAGGGACCCATACCGTTCGGCGCGTCAGAGTCCACCCCAGTAGATACGTCATCAACTCCACTATAAATTGCGATGACACGCTTCTGGATCTGCTCAGCCATTTGGCGGTAAAATATCGTGAAGGCTCGCTCGTAAAGCATAAACAAGTAATGAGCCTCGTCGTCATCATTTGCAGTGTCAGTGTCGGTAATATCGTATGCAGCACGATAGGCCAGTAAGACTCGCGAACTTTGTGTCATACTAGCTCGTGCACATGCTAACATTGCAGGAGTTTGCTGAAACTGAACCAAGGCATCCGTAAACCGCTCAAGGCCCACGCGTGTGCTGATCATCTGAAGAAGTTGGTCCCGAGTCATTTCCAATCCAGGTTTTACTTTAGGCGCGGCAGCTGACACTGCGGATGTTGCAATTTTCAGGGCTTGCTCTTCCTCATCTTCACATAAAAATTCTAAGCAACACCCCAGCAGCAGTGCAATAAGGCCTCGCAACTGCGTCGTCTCAATTACCCTTCGGGACACTGTCGAAGTTTGCTTGGCTGAAAGAATGTCCACGAGCACTGACAGGTTTGCCACGGAACCCGTAATTTCACGAACAGCCTTAGGACAGTCGTGACACCAGCTGATTAGGAGCAATAATACCGACAATTTGGCCTGGAAAACAATAGACTGAACAGCGGTACTCAATTCTTTACCCACTGTAGTTCGCAACATCCGAATACACCGCGAAAGAAAAAGCCCGCCAGCAACTGGACGAGCCTGTGATTCGTCATACTCTGCCGGCACGCGGAGAGCAAGTTCTTTGCAATACGAGCTATCCACCAGCAACTTTTTCAAGCGGTGACTGGCTTTCCAAGCCATTATTAGCTTCGAGTTCAGCGTCTCAGCGTCGTTAATCTCGCTGTATTGTATGATAAAGTCAGTGTTGACGATGAACGCATCAAGTAAAACTCGGCCGGCTGAAGAAGAGGCTGAAGAAGATTTGTAGCCACTGCCCCTATCTCCTCCAAAGGAAGTTGGCGGTGGTGGTGGAGGTGTCTGGATATGCTGAAGCACAGACATACATGCGCCCTCATTTTCGTGGAAAAGCACATCCAAAAAATCCGATGCCGCGGCAGCTACAGGAGACTCAGCATTCTCAATGCTTACGTCAAGATGCACAAGCTCCGCGAGAACGTTACGCCCCGAAGGTGACGCATAGAGGTTTACCAAGATCATCTGAACACCACCATTGTGCTCACTCACTAGTCGTAGGAGATCAAGTGCCTGGAGTCGCAAATCTGCGAGTGCATCACTACGACAGCAAACCAGCTCACCCACAGCGCCCATAAGCGCTTCTTGTCGGGCTACAAGACTTTGTATTCTCGCAAGCTCTTGACTTTTTCGAGTACGATCCCGCTGGGCCATTTCATCTAACGACGATTCTTTTGCACCATCATAAAGCCCCGTCACAAGAAAACGCACAAGCTGTAGTCCAAGATTCAGCACACGCTTTCGTCTCTCTAGTGCCACCGTATCTTCCTCTTCGTCCCCTCCATCAGCTTCCGCTAATCTTAATATCCTCGGCACATGTGACTCCAGGTACGGCATCTCAAGGAAAAGTGTCTGCGTCATGAGATTGTCTCGCACCATATTGTTGATAATCTGCAAGCAGTCTGCAAATACGCCACTTGCTGAACTCGCTCCAGTTTCCATCAATCCTTCCGCTTCCATAATCTGAAACAGTCTGTCAAAACCTTCTTCAAAGGCCAGAAACTGTTGTGCATTTTTATCTCGGCCTGTTAACTGTCCAAGAACCGACAATGCTGCATCTCGAATATGTTCTCGTCGGTCCCCTACAACTTCCAATAGTCTCCTGAGTCCTTCCTTGCATTCCAGCACCGATTCGTCGAATGCACTCGGCTGTGCATCTTGCAACGCCCTTACAAGAGCAACAGCAGGGCCTCTGATCCATGAAGATGGGTCCTGCAACAATGTAAGACACGTCTGCATGCCCCAAGTAGCAACAGAGTTCTCAGAGGGCTTCTCAAGCAGCAAAAGAGCCGCTACGGGCACCCGAGTCACAATTATATGAAGAAACTCGAGCATTGCTTCCATCAACTCCGTATCTCTTGGATCAGACACTAAAGCCGCTAGAACAGCAGGCACAGCGGCGTTACTGAGTTCTTGCTCTTCAACTGTAACTTGATCACTGCTCTTCTTGCCCTGTAATGTGTCCAATTTCTGCACCAACAATTGAAGAGCATTTACCGCTTTCTTTCGCTCGCCTAAAAGTGTTGCAAATTGCAAGCGGTCAACGGCCAGTGCGATTTCCGCTTTGATTTTGTCAGAAATGGCAACAATTAATGACATGTGAGGCTTTTGAGGCAGAGTTAAAGGTGATTGGGGTATCGCTACCGAGCTAGAAACGTCTATGGAATCATTCGTGAGCTCTAAATCAACCGTGGGCTCATCGGAGGCGACGACGATGCGGTGCACGCGGCTCAGCACCGCCTGCATCCTGTGATGATAGACTGTATTTTCAATAATAGCAGCGTAGTGTTATGAAACTACAAAAATAGCCAAGCTGTCAGCTACAAGTATTGTCTAGAGTGCCCGATATAGTGGCATAGTTTCGGTGGCAGCATATGTTGTACATGTCCGTGACAATATTCAATAATTGCATCCATTTCTTGCCTTAACGACTAATATTTTTCATAGCCAATTGCAACTTTAAGCTCACTTTTTCATGGTTGTCTATTCATTCTAATTCCAAGTAAGTAAACAATACAATTTCGATCTCCATCTGTGCTGTTTAGCTCATAAAGTGACCTTTATTACCACTATACGCAGCATGGATGACTACACAATACCAGCTCTAGCAAACGTAGTTCCACCTCTGCTTCCTGCCACAATGGGTGTTTATAAGGACTATCTGACGCCAGCTTCAGCTACATCCCAGCACCGTCATGGGGTATCAACCTCCCCATGTCCGGTCTTAATGCTGTCGTGTCCAAAAGGGGGCAAGATGACGTCAGCTGCAACGGAAGAGAGATCGATTCCATGGCCATGACGCTGTTTAAAAGAAAAAGATCCGGCAATACCGTGTCCTATAGGACAAGACAATCGCACCCACAACTGTAAGAATAAACTCCTATGAATCTTCTGACACACCAATATCGACGACTTTCGTGTCGTGAGACGAAAACGCCAGGTACTCAATGGAACCAACTACTATATAAACCTTTTGCTTAAAGACCGCAGCATCACCGACCTTCGCCTTCGCCAGTAAATTATCGATCCTACGACAACTACTTCTCTCTCTTTTAAAACACTATGTCTTCATTATAGCAAGCAAAACCTGGACTTAAATAAAGACTGTAATTATTAGTCTGTGTGACAATATCATAAAAGCAAAGACAGCAAAAAAAACTAATATCGTTAAAACGCATTGTTCTATTTCTAAATATTTCTGCTTTTTTCGTTCAAAAGCTGATAGAAATCCATAATCACAAACATGGCTACATCTCCATAAAGCAAATAAAAAGCCAATCACAATCCTTCATTTTATTACCAAAAATGCCAATCGACGTGATCGTTAAAGTGCCGTCTTCTCCTGTCTCCGACACGCCTTTAGACACAACGACACTCGTGCTACTTCACCACAAAGGTCACTTTTGTCTTCTTGATCGTAATCTACGTGATTTTCTGCACTTGGAGCGTCAATTATCGCGAGGATTTCCAGCTAAAGTTCTGATTCCAGATGCGATATCCATCTCTTCATTGTTAGAAGCTTATGACGACGCGAAAACGAGCTTTTATCCATCCCACCAGCTTGGTACACGACTGGAAATTGTAATAGAGACTTTATTGCATTATTTGACGTCGAATTCCGAGCTTTTGACGACGTCTCTAGCCTTGAAAACGTTTCTATATGGGAATGTATTGACGTGTCATAAGACAATGGGACAGAGCTACAGAGATGCAGTAGAGGCTGCAATTGAAGCTAAGGAGAAGAACTTGGAGCTGCTGGATCAGAGAGTAGCTGCTGGCTGCTCAATAAAACATCAGGTTACTGTGACAATGGAAGAAGAAAAGCAACTGGTGCTTTGGAAATTTACATCACAAGATACGGGACTGGTTTTTCGTGCTTTGTTTTCTAGTGGGGATAGAGGAAAAAGTACGGAGATTGATCCGTACAGTGTCAGCTCCAATGAGGTGGTAGAGAATGAGACGGACGAGATAGAGGTGGCATACTACAAGACACACTGTACTTTTGATACTGATGAGGGTTATGTGTATGGACACTATGTGGCTGAAAAGAATGGACTGGTGGCACTGCTATGGGAGAACGTGGACATGAACAGTGTAATGTCCAAGTCACTGCGGTTTCAGGTTAAAGTAGTGTCGCTGAGCGCTGCAGGGAAAGTGCTGGAAGTTACAGATGCTTTAAAAACTGTCGATACGGCGGAGTGGCTGCATGAATATGTGGACGCATCGGAGATCATGTCGATAAAGGATCTGGTGGGGTGGGAAACTTACGAATGTGAAGACGCCTTCGATAAAGATGAAGCTTATGACGATGGTTTGGCGAAAGGAGATATTGAAGTGAAGTCGCAGATTCAAGTCGCCGTGCTGAGAGAACGGAATTATGAGCTTGAGATGCAAGTGGTACGTTCTCTTCATTGGTTGGGTAAAAGGTAGCCTTTCGTTTTAACAAGTGCGCGTGTAGACCTGTCTTGAAGAGAGTCTGACGGCTACCAAGAAGGAACTGAAGAGCGCGCTAGATCGCGTTCAAATTGCTGAGGAGATTCACAAAGCCAACTTGGAGACCATTACGCAAATTGAATGTGCGAATGCGAGCGACACCACGCAGAAGGTATCGAGGGTTGCAACGGCACCGCTTGCTGGGTCCCAGTCTGGTACACTTCATTCCGATGGTACGCAGACAGAGGAAACGCCCTCTAGTGAGCTGGAGCGCGTGCAAAAACTATGCGCTGGTTTCCAAGAGCAGTGTCTGTGGCGGTCCGTGGAGAACATGGAGCTGGAGACGCAGCTGGCAGTGTCACAGAGTGAGGCGTCTTCGTGGCGGGAAAGACACGTCAAGCAAGCTGCGCAGCTGAAGGAGCTGGAAAAGCAGAACTGCACTCTGCGGACGCACAAGAAGATGCTGGTGCAAGAGGTGAAGCGTTTGCAGCCGTACTCGCAAGTAAACTTGGCAGCGTTGTTGCAAGAAGCACAAGAGGCTCGGATGATGCAGCGCAGTCTTCAGGCGAAACTGGACTTGCATGAACTGGTCAAGAACGCAATGGAAGTAAGTGCCATTGAGTCTGAACCTGCTGACTTTGTCCTTGTTGAGGCCTCAGAAGATGAAGACGTATAAGAGTAATGATACACACATGTTGAAGCGGCCAGGTATTAATTCGTGCAACCGTACGAAGGACGTTGTCAACGTCCTGATCGTTCCATCATTTGTCAAATCTTGCCAATCTCCCCATCATGAAGCATCAAAAGTCCCACCTTTTTCGACTCCATCCAGTCTCAGTTCTTCCAGAACCTAAACCAGAACTTGGTGGGTCCTATAATGGACACTGTATTGGTTCATTTTCAAGGACGACGGGAAGTTCCATCAAGGAACATGGAGATAGAAGCGGCTGAATCTACATTGGTGCTTTTGGGTGCAATGGCAGTAGCATTGCTCGTCTTGTGGATATATCGTCTTGTACAGTATCGTAAAGCTTTACGACGTTCGCAGGCACGATGGGTGGCATATGAGCCAGCGCCCGTGCTTACAGAAGATGACTTGGGACTCAATTGGCCAAGTTTAAAGCCTATTCTTTTATCGCCAATACCTGAGGAGCGTCATGAGAGTGGACGCGTAAGACGGATGCGATACTTATCAACTTATTGTGGCGACAACAATCTAACAATGTGTTTGTTTGTTAATGCCTGATATTAGGAGTCGGAGAACGACTCAATGTCATCGACACGCAGGGATTCATTGTGTTTGAGTGCAATCTCTGTCATTGCCTGTGAGTTGTTGCAAAGGTTTTCTTCCTTCTTTTTCTACGTAGTTTCTAATGGACTAATTTGCTGCACAGATGGGAGCTTAGATCACCCAGTGGCAAAAACTGCCACGGTTTAAAATGAAGAAGAAAGAGAGGAGTTGGAATCGAAAATGAGGTGGAGTAGCTCGTTGGATGGTTGGTGGCAAAGTGTGGTCCTGCTTCGTCTACGACGACACGGACGGGTCCAAGTCAAACGAAGCAGAGTGTTGAGATCTAAAGGCCAGTTGATTTATAGCGGAAGATCTCGGTGTAAATGGTACCCTGATTCGGATTTTGTTAGTGCTAGTAGTGATTAGAGCAGACGTAATGGGAAAAAGGAACGAGCATTTCAAGATACGGCGCGCGTCAGGAAAGACAAGAGCGACGTGCTTGAATTCCGACGCTGACGTGAATGAACGCGGTGACAAGAGTATTTATGTACAAAAGATGGCTGAAATTGGTCTTGGAGACAAGACATTAGCGTGTACATCACTGCGTCGGAGCTTGGTTTCTGGCTCTCGTGGGTAAGACACACAAGTGAATGGTCAAACGTATGTGTCCTGCTCAATGCCGCGTGTTTGCATACTGATGTGTGTTGAGCGGCGTATCTCTTTTTCCAGCAAAAAAACTAGTGTGCGTCCAGACTTACCGTATGTGGTCTGAATATTTTCTAATCTACGAGTTACCGGGTGCAGGCGGACCGCGCGGCTGCTTTAGCTCGACCTCATTGGATATTGTGGTGTTTATTGAACCAAAGTGGACGCGGGTGGCTGTCTCGACTGGTCGTGTTGCCAGCGGAGTCATAAACCGGTTGGCTTCAAAAAGGAACTGGTTCAGGTCCACCGCCTTTGTTACATATTCAAACACGTTACGCGTGGCATCGTCCATTTCTTCAATGTCAAAACCTGTCCGCAGCGGTTTCTTCTCAGTAGAATCGATCGCAGGCTCAAACACGTTGTAGGATCCGTCAGGGTGAAAAATGTACTTGAGCTCTTCAGTGCGCACGCCCTTGGTCATTCCATTGAACGGGTTGCACAAAACGACACGGCGCTCCTGGAGACTTTCCCGAGCTTCAGCTGCCACAGCTTCGGCCTCCGAGTCTTTCAGCTTTGTGTCCTTGGCCTGAGTCCTGCTAGCCAGTACCTGCGCTTCTCTTTGAGCCTCCGATTGAAATTGACGACGCTTCATAGAGTGGCCGTAGCCGTGCTGGTAGAGCGGCTCATCTGGAGTGACACCAAGGATATCGGCAATTGTGGCCATAAGGTCTGATTGCATCGACAGTTGGCTTACCACCATTCCCTTGTCCTCCTCACGGATAAAGTCATCGGCAAGCAAAAGGAACGGCACTTTGGAAGCTTCATCCCACACACCCGAGTCTATAATCGACGGATTGTTGTCATGTTCGAGACGACCATAACCGTGGTCTCCCTCAATGATCACAATTGTATTTTTCATCAGCCCCTTCGCACGCAGTGCTGTAATGAAGTCGCCTAGCATCTCATCAGAAAAGCGCATCGAGTCCAGATACTTTTTGTTGTAAGGCGTGTACAGCCCTGACAAGTCTGGAGCATTATAAAAATTCGGTAGCGCCCATGGATTGTGGCTCGTAATACTGTACATGTCAATAAAATACGGCGTCTGCAGCCCTTCCCATCCTGGAAGCGGCGGCTTCGTCGTGGCAGCCACCGGTGTGGACGCGTTTTCGGTTAATGTCTTCGCAGTGGATATCCCGTTTAATGTCGAATTGGCGGTGTGGAAGTATCTGCCACTAACTGCAGCCTCTGAACCGGTCGTCATGCTCCCAATTTCGGTCGCATTCGTGGGCGTCGTAATGTCGGCGTTAGATCCCACAGATGATACTGCTGCAACATCAACGGAGTTCACACTAGCGTTGTGAGCCGCCTCGATGGCGTACAATAGCATCTCGAAGGACAAGTGGTCGTGCATGCCCCAAGAAAAATGGTCGTCAGGCGTATTCTTGTAGTTGCGCGTCTCATGCAGCATCTTGCGAACCTTACGATCATCCACTAGCTTGTCAAACCCGTTCTTCAGCAGGAACTTGTCCCAGTATTCCCATGTGAGGTCTACGGCACTCCAAAAGAGGTTAAAGTAGCCGCGCTCTTTCAAAAAGTGCGGAAGTCCCCGCACGTTTAGCGTCGTACTGTACTGTTTGAGTGCAGCAGTTTCCGTGCAGGACGGCAGCATTCCAAATAGCGTCGTCAAGAGTGTGCGCGAAGTTTGGACGCACGGCGTGTAGTGCTTGCTGTAGAGCACACCGGTCTTTGCCAGCTCGTCAAATCGAGGCGTCGCACTCTTACCAAAAGTCTCTTTCTTCGCAGCACCGCCAAGAACACCGACATCCAGATGCTTCCAGGATTCCATATTGAGCACGATTATATTGGGCTGAACCTTTGTAGGTTTTGCTGCTGCTGTTGGTCCATCTGTTGCATTCTCTGCTATCTCAGGAACTACAGTCACAGGGGCTGTCACATTGAGATCGAGTTCAAATAAGTTGTCACCTTCATAACCAATTGTCTTACGCCACAGCAATGCGCAATGGTCATCATTTCCCAGATCATCCAGCTCGTACTTCTCACTGACACCCAGAGTCGATCGCAATGCGCTGCTAGCTGCGGTGCAATTGATCTCTTCGCGATGGATCGTCGTAGGACGATAGAAAAACTGCTCTGACTGCAGCGTGAACATAGCGTTGTTCATAAGCTTCATATCCACGCCACCTTTTCCATCAACAAGCAGTGACGCTGACAAAGCAGCACCAGTCATTAACAAACTCGCAAGAATGCTCCGGCCCAGTACTGTAAATGGTCCAGATTTGGTGTAGGAGTCATAGCGCATTGATGATCCTGAAGCTAACACATTAGAAGGTCCGCTCGCATTTCCACCTGGCAAATGACCATAATTCTGGCCGCTACGTCTTCGTGAGCGAATCGTTTTTTCTGCACGATGCCAGTACGACGTGAATAAGTTGGAAACGTACGAGCCCGACCGCGTCGTCACCGCTATCGGGTTCGTCGACGCCATCGAGTCTTTTCGTACGTTGTATCGTCGGCCAAAACAACAGCAGAGCGCACTCGGTAGTCTAAGAAAGTCTGATGCCAACGGTAATCGACCAGTGTAATGCCCATACGTCAGCGCAGCAATGAGAACGATATACACCGCCCAAGACCCCATGACTGTCCGTGTCATGACTTCTTCATCCGTTAATGATGCCGTAAACTGCTTCATATACTCAAAGAAAAGAGTAACAAACGCGCGGTTTAACCTCGGGTGCATTGTCACTTGCAAGCAAAAGTCTGCTACACTCCCAATCGTCGCCACAACTAGAATCAACTGCAGCAAAGAAACAATCACAAACGCGTGAAGCGCTCTTTTAATTCTTGTTGTCAATGCCGGTCGATTGGTTGCAGATCCTAAACTCAACAACGTCCGATGATTCGTAGCAGCGCCTGACGCCAATGCCTCCATCCCTTCATCTCGAAGATCGTACTCCCTCGCTAGGACTGGCATATAGACTGGCAAGAATCTCGCATGTGTACTGCGGTCCCTTAGAAAGCCACTATTTGGGAAACTTGAAGCATTACAAGTCGTTCCAGCTTGTTGCAATGTCATATTGTCTGCGTCAAACAACACCTTTACAAGACAAATACAGGTCGATGTTTGCAAGAAAATTGCCACGTCTTGCATCCATCCTGCTAGCAGTCCTTGAATGATCACCGGGACACTAAATCGATGCACAAAGCGTGCAAAATTAAGAACGCGTCCGAGAACTGGAAGACCAAGGAACGTGTATACGAGGACAGCAAGCCACATGGTCTGATACATTCGCTGAGACGCCAACAAGACGCTACGGCCTCGCCACCAATTCCTAGTGCGACCAAAAAAGGACGTGTCCATGGGTTTTACACCATAAACGATATCATTGAACTCCCGTGTAGGTGAGAGACCTCGATTCCGACGATAAATCATGGGAGAAGTCATTATGTGATCGATTCACGTGCGACTGGGGAATGCGGTAATTTATTCAGACCAAGAGGTTGGTGGTATATGGTGGTGGTATTTTACATCTGGGTCAGAAGAGCCATGACTCACTCACGTACGCGGGGATAAAGTCAGACGATGTAGATGGACAACGAAAGGACAGTAGGGCATGAGAACAGCCAATTGGGTCTTCGGCTGGCAGAAGGATTATTACTAAGTAGAGGTACAGAGGCAGTATTATCCGCTTGGAAGTAGACCCAATTTTTCGAAATAAATACGACGTCCTATGTCGACACTTTATTGGTGGAAAATGTGGCATTAGGAAACCTTTTGTCCATTCGAATAGACGATCGTTATTATATTTCTACAAAAGTACCCTTTTCCGCATCGTTTTGACCCTTTTTCTTTTCAACCAACCACATGTCTTCCATCTTTTTACATACAATGCCGACCTTCTTCCCAGCTCCACTATTACGTTCTCTACGGCAATTTGCCGTCTCTGATGAAGTTAAGGATGCAGTGGATGCTATTCATGCTACAATACTGAATCAAGGCGCTATTTTAGGTACACAAAGGGTTATTCAATCCAATAAAGACGATGTGCAACAAGTCGCAGTTTGGGGACTACTTTGTTTGTCGACAGATGACATTATTGGCCAATCATTCGACAGTAATGTACCAGGTGGAATACACCGTATTGGTAATTATGTGGTCGTACGTAAAAACACCGTTGAAGACGAGAAGGAGCTCGGTAACGTGATTATTGGATTGATAAGCAATACGCAGACAATTTAATGCGCTAAAACTTTGAATTTTATTGTTATAATGAGCAGAAATTGTAGCACTTGAAGCAGTAGATCATTACAAGGACAAGGACAAGATTGTGTTAGTGTATGAGGTAAATACACAGAGCTTACGGATGTTTCAGTGCAAGGACGGAACAGCCACGATGTTGACAGTGAAAGTGGTGCAGTGTCTTCATGCTCGAGATTTTCATCGAGCAATTGGTTTTGCACTAGTGCGTTGTGCTGTGGACCTGCATGTGCTTGGAGAGAAGAGTGCGTTGTTGCATCAGCTGGAAAAGTACAAAGCTGCGACGTGTGATGCTGGAAATTTCTATGTTCGTGCAAGTGTCATGCAAACCAAGAAAGGTCGGAGCTTTTGTGTACTAAATGGTCATGGACAAGACGTTGTGTCTTGTAATGCCAAGCCTGTGCTTTTCGAGGCGATTTTGCCTAAATTTTGTATCAGCGAAGATGCAGGAGAGATAAAGGGAAGCAAAAAGAATGGCAAGAAGCAGAAAAAAGAACACATGAAGACAGTACCTCGACGAGGAGTAAAGGAAGAAGAGAAGCTGGGACTTTTACCATCTTTGGATTACGGCGATATTGCTACGTTCGATTTGATGATCAGTCTTGGGCCAGTGGAGGCTGATGCTGTTGTTGGAGCGCCTGTGGTTACGATTCCAACGTCTTCTGATTCCAAGACCCCTATCCGTCGCTATAGCGCGTACTGTGATACCGTAGTTGTGGTGCCTGTGGACTCGCCAGTCGTAGCTGCGCTAGCACTGCTTCGGAAACAGCTACATCATCAGCTGTCTGGGATATATAACCAACTGAAGGATGCACCGGAGGCAGTGAAATCAGTTGCGGTGCGTCAGTTCCCACTTGTTGGAGCGGCGTTCCCTTTGGCCGTTGTCTCAGACTCGGAGGGGCCTGAATGCAGCAGCGAAGAAAGCCTGAACGACGTGAAAACAATAGAGAGTTTGCACCGTGCATTCCTGCAGCCTTTGAATCGGCCTCTGTTCCGTGTGTCTCGTGGATGCTCGCTAGCTCAGCAAGGAGAATGGCTTGCAGCAAGTGACGTGCTGTACAACGTACACGAAGGCATTCCAAGCTCTGGTATGGGATCGCACTGTCAATCAGCTTTGGTGGATGGCTTTTATGGCTACTATCATTATCTCCAGCAGGGCATAAATGACAAAGGCTGGGGCTGTGCTTATCGCTCGCTGCAGACGTTGGCATCTTGGTTGTTTTTGGAGCACTACACACAGCAGCGCACCCTCTTGCACGAGCAAATTCAGAGCGCGCTTATTAAGATAGGCGACAAACCAGCATGTTTCCAAGGATCGAAAGAGTGGATTGGCAGTTTGGAAGTCGGTTATGTGCTAGACGAACTGTTTGGCGTGACTTTCCGGTCCCTTAGTGTCTCAAGCGGTGCCCAACTGCCTGAACTGGCGCGCGAGTTATTGTACCACTTCGAAACGCAGGGAACTCCTGTCATGATGGGCGGTGGCCAGTTGGCATTCACGCTATTGGGTGTAAACTATGACCCCGATGCAGGAGTCTGTGCCTTCCTCACACTAGACCCGCACTACACGGGCGACGAGGACCTGGATACAATTCAGAACCAGACTGTCGTGCTAGAAGGCTACAAGGCCGTGCCGTGTAGTTGGCGCAAGACTACAACGTTCGCAAAGAACAGTTTTTATAATCTTTGTTTGCCTCAACGCCCAAATGTCGGCTTTTAAAAGCATTCGGAGGAAAGGAGCAAACTCGATCGTACAGCTACAGAAGATGTTTATTTTCCCTTGTTTTTGCATAGCTCAAAGAGTCCGCGATAAACGGAGCGAAGATACGTTCCGCTCAATCTTGGTCTTGTCATTGGTGATCTGGCTGTTTTGTTACGCCGTTTGTCGGCTATGAAACATGTCGAGGCACTACGCTGAAAGCCTAGTACACTTGAGTGAGGAATAGATATCGAGCTCCTACGCAAACTTGTTTTTCTGGACAACGGAGAAAAGTCTCCATTGACAATTTGTCATGTCTTCTGCTTTTCTTGTCTCGGCCTCATCCTGGTGTTAATGCCGACCGTCTGTCTGTTGGTGTGAGTACCGCAATCCTATGCCGTGACTGCGTTGTGCTGCCTGTTAGGTTTACTGTTGCGCCTGTTAACGACAGCTGATGCTGCTACTGCCGAGGCCTGAGCAATTGCACGCAAATTGCTTGATCCCGCGCTGTTCGCTGAATTTGCCAGTATCTGTGCGAGAATGTCCACCTGATTTTTTTTGTAAGCCTTCTTCATGATCGCCTTGGTGTTGTCCATCAACGAGCCGGTGAGACGAGGTGCACCACGGGACGTCTGCTTGGCAAAGCGCAGCAGATTCACCCACAGCTCAGCCTCCTCTGGCAGCTTTGTACGCATAAGCATCATCGACGGGGCATCACTACCCGTGTCACGGAACTCAATGCGAAAATCGCCCTGACTCATCTTCTCAATGTGTGCGACATTACATAAGTCCACAACACCACGCGGACTCTTCCAATAGCTGCGCTTGTACATAAGCACGACACCCGCCTGAAAGTCGAGATAGAACCAGCGTTTATGCCAGCTGCGCATCAAGAATGGGATCGTGTCTTTAAGCAAGTTCACATAACCACAGTATGGTGGCAATTCCAGATCCGCGGGTGGCATGGCCGGTGGCAGCTCAGTTCGCTTTGTCTGCTGTAATACAGGACTGGGAATATGTACAGCATGAGCCTCTTCTTCTTGCATAGACTGCAAGAAAAACTGCTGCAATTGATTCTTTTCTGTCCGAATAACAGTGATCGCCTGCACCAACACAAGCTGATCATATGCAAGCTCCGCGAGCTCTTCATCGTCCAGTTCCAGACTCTTGGCCTTGAGTCTGTCCTCACGTTCCATTTCCCAGAGCGTATGATCGTCTACTTCGTTTCCATCGTCATCGAGCAACATAAATCGACCCGAATTCGTACGTTGACGATTTAATAGCGAGCGTGAACTCATAATCTCTTGCATGGACCCAAATGGGTAAACAGCTGGACGTAGTGTGTCCAACACCATTTCCTCGACATTCTCATTTTCTTCTTTACGTAACCAAAATGCATCCCCAAGTCCAAAATTCTGTCGAAACATGGCGACGGTATTAGCGTCTGTGATATCATAATACCCATGGGATTCAAAGAATTGCAATCCATCCTCTGCATGTCCTTTGTATACCGACTCTAAATGTAACTCAAAAGGTGAATTGATCTCACTCTTTTCTAAAGTACAAGTAGATTCCAATTCTGGTTCCACATTATTATCACTGCGTTGTTTCTTGGTCAAATGAAAATGTTCCACTTCATCTTCCATAACTGAGAGTTTTCGTGTCTTTTTCTTCACTTGACTCTTGAAATTCGTAGACCGATACAATAGCGGTATCATGCGCTCGCCACGGTGATTCAGCATTACCGTTGGTTCAGGACGTGGTGCCATTGTTAACATCATATTTATGATCGTATTTAACAAAAAAAACTCTAGAGAATTCCTGTTATTATCTACTTATTAATGACTTTGCTCTTTTCCTTTTGAAGTGCAAAGAGAGGGAGGGAAGGAGGGAGGGAGGGAGGAGGTGTCACAAGTCGTCAACTCACGACTTGGCAACTGATTTGGCTTGACTACAAAGAAAGAGTGAGAACGCTTCAGTACTGACGCTTGCGTTGCTACTTCCGCTCTTCTTCTCGACTACGCGCTTTCCCCACTGCGGAACGCCCGAAGTTATGAGGAAAAATCGGAGAGCACCCTTATTTAGCAACATGGAAAACGTTTTGTATTAATGTGTATACAAGAGCGGAGGGGGGTGGATGATTCCGAGCTTAATACAATTCAAAAGACTGGCCATGTACCTGGGTTGCCACTTGTGGGGTAGGGCTAGGGTGTACTGACTCCTCGAACGAAATGCTGCTTACTAATTACGTGTTCGTGTTTGTGTACAGACCACCTTTTTATTACAGAGGAAACTGCATCTACTGGCGCTATCAACGCATTCTTTAAACGCTTAAGTGTCAAGGCACATATATCTCATGGATACGGAACCCAACGTTTTAAGATTGTCATGTTGAAAAGACCAGCTGGGCGGCACTATAGTTTACTTAAATGAGTTCAGCATGTCAAATAACAGCTGGCGATGCGACGTGAAGCTACAAGCCACAGGCGGTTATAAAAAAGGGACAGGGACGGATTGTATAAAATGTTGCAATGCCTGGCAGCTGCTTGCTGCATTTATAGCCAATTAAAAGGTAGCTACCGTAGACATGTAGTTGCAGCATCTGATTCTGTTGCACCTGACGCCGCGTCTCTGATACTGTCGTTTTTCAAATTCTTGTGCCCGCCTTCGAGTGTATGTAAACACACGCTGTGGTAGCTAAGAAACGATCTCGACAGCTCTGATATGCACAGTTTGTAAAAGTGTACGGACGGCGATGCACTGACGATCTTGCGGCCGTTGACATATTGACACATGAGCGGATTGCAGAAGACAATAGTATAAAACAGTTCTCGTTTTTTGAGGATAAGGGCTTGTACCCTTGGATCTTTGACCATTTGGATTCTATTGCATCATGTTGTTCTCTGAAATAATGACTCAAGCATCGTACGTCTTCCTCTGGCGTTAGGCTGTAACAGCCCGGCTACACTTGGTGTAATACGTGTCATTTTATACTTATATCCGGCTACACTTGGTAGCATTCGTAACCCAACAACTGAGTTTTTTACTATTCATGTAATATGATGAAGCAATTTGCTCCTTTTTTTAAGACCAACAAGTGGTGTTTCCTAGTTGGTGCTAAAAATGTGGTCGCGATCGCTAAGGTAGGTCATGATGCGTATAACGCTTCTCGATACATTTTATGCATTGTTAGGCTTCTTTTGCAACAGGGTGAGCCCGTTACATAATTTTAACACTTATATGAAGTGTCAATAAGAACATTATCTTGGATAATAATATTTGACAACGAGGGTATTTACCCGTCGTTCCGACGGTACCCCTACTCTGGTCAATCACTTTGCTTAGAATATCAGGTTGAATTAGGTAAATTAATAGGTATTGAAGTCAATGGGTATTCAGGCCAATGTAAGACCGTCGTTCCGACGGGTACAAATTGACGAATGTCTGGACAACGTTAATATACAGTCATTTACATTTAAATAATGCCTACACCCTAGTGAATCGATAGACGATTGCACCATGTTTCATCGACCCACTTCTTTTATGGTGTTCACTTGTCGTTTTGATGGTGCAAAGTAGCGTATATTGGCATGTTAAACGCCGCGATTTGCTAGGATGTATACCCGTCATTCCGATGGATATAGTGCGCAAGTCAACGCCTGTAATATATTGACCTTTACATCATCGTTTTACCAATTTGGTTGACTACATTAAAATGATGATATAAAGGTCAATGTGTACTCGTCGTTCCAACGGACATGGTGACCAAAGTTTGCCTTTTGACCTTCGAGCCCAACATTTTACCTTACAATATTAAGGTAAAGTGATGGGTATGAGATTCAATGTGTACCCCCGTTCCGACGGATAGTAGCGTGCGGACCGAATATATAGATCTAAATATGCATAGAGGACCGAATGTAATTTTTTCTATGTGTGTCAATCAATTTTTAATACAACTTTTTGCCTGTGTGCAGTTTTGGTAGTGCCCCTTGTTCCGTCGGACAGGGGCGCGATTCTACGCTGATAGTACCCTGGCCCACCACATATCTTAAAAATAAAGATGCTCACTCGTCGCTCCGACGGACATGGTAAGCAAACATATGCTAAATAATCTTCGTATCCACTTCTTATTCTGGTTGAGTCAGGTAATTGCTACATATGAAGTCAATAAGTATGAAAGGCAAGGTCTACCTGTCGACGCTGGATAGTGTGTACCTGTCGTTTCGCAGGTCAATATGTACCCGTCGTTCCGAGGGACACAGTAACCAAAGTATGCCTTAAATTTTCGTATAACCGGTCATATAAGTTAAACTATGGGTATGAAGGTGAACGTGTTCCCGTCGTTCCGTAAATTTTCATTTCATTATATTACACGACAAACGGAATTCTATTGTAATGATCTTACGATATAGATTTCAGTCATGCTATCCATTTTTAAATTTAGATGTCCGACAGATTTATTGCATGACATCATACGTTATCCGTATATGTTGGTTATCTTTGATGTGTCAAACATCTTTTTGATGCAACTTAAGTCCGTGTACAACTGACCTGCTCGTATTAATATGCAAAATCAGCCAATCCAAAATTAGCGAATTATGCAAAAGTAGCCAATCCGAATGGCGGAAAAGGAGCACTACGGACGGACAGACGGACGGACGGACACAATTCTTTTATTATATAGAAGATATTACCTTTTCTTATAATATTGCCCCTGCATCTCCTTGGAGTTGAAAATGTAGGCCATAATATCAACTAGGGCGCTGAACAATGACAGATGGACGTGTGCAATGAATGGAGGGCACAAAGGTAAAACACATATTGGTACTTTAATATAGTTAAGACAAGGTTATAACAGATTCACATTTATTCGATAGCTTCACTACATTAAATACAATTCTCACTCTCTTCACATATAAACGTTTGCTGATGCGTTTAGCTTCCTCTGCCTCTCTGTGTTCGAAAGGTATCAAGGCACCTGCTTACACTGCCATAAATGTAGGTAGACTATACCTATATCAGTATAGACGGAGGGTGCCACGTTACACCTGGTAACGCTTCGTGGCCCTTTCAACGACCATCGATCCATCCGCTATATAAACCAGCGGATGAGGAAATTCGTCACGAAAAGCATAATAACTTCTGCCATTTGAGTGATCTTCGAATGACAGACGGTAAATCGTATATCTGTAACCATCGGCAAAGCCGCCACCGGTACCATGCTGCTTATTCTGAGCGGAGACACGTAACATGCAACTATCGCCAAGTTCATTCAGCATGAACTTTACGAAAAGAAATAAAGAAGCTCATCCTGTTGCAGGATCAAGGTGATCAACAGGCTGAACTAGTGAGAAAACAAGGCGCTCAACAAGCTGACATGTTGAGGCAGCAGGGTGCTCAACAGTCTGAACTGTTGAGACAACAGTAGGCCAGTGCTGCTGCTGCCGGTTCGACACATGCACGTCGACCCGACTCCTTGAATATCGATGTCTCTAAGTACAAGGTAGTCGAAATCGAGATGTTTCATCGAATTCGATGATGCCATTGAGGCTCGTCGCATCGATGACGATGTGATGGAGGTCAAGTTCGCCATGTCGAACTTGGCAGGACGTGCTAAAGCCTGGGCCCTAGGGCTCAAGCTGCATGACCCATACATTTTCCCAACGTATGATGTATTTAAGGCGCGGCTCAAACACACGTTTGAACTGGCTCGCGCTAAATTCAGGGCTCGGGCTGAAATACTGGATCCGAGACAGGTTAAGCGTGATATACACGCTTACGCCCAACACGTACGTTACCGTGTTGGTTGTATCGTGCTAAACCTAATAGATTATCACACGCACGTTACTGTGTTCACCAAGGGTCTGATGTAACGGGATGTACCGTTACACAATTAGGTATAGTTAATTTCATATTACATAAGTAGCTATATGCTACACCCAAGATAGCGGGTGTAGCCATTCGTATCTCTTTTCGCAGGTAAGTGAGAATCAGTCTTATTATCAGCCAATAGGAAAGAGATCTGTAATTGAGTGGTTCCCCATAAGTTTGGGGTATCCACTCGTACTTAGTCAAAACATAAAAATATAAAAATCGGAGTGTAAAATTAACCTTAAGCACGCTAGTTTTGCGTGCTCCCTTACGCTTCCTCGTAAGACCTATAGTGTGTGTAAGTAACGAAGCTTTAGCCTCGTTACATCTGGTGTATGGTCCCGTCAAGACCCACCTGTTCTCTTGGATCTAGAATCGCTCGATCAGGCGATCTCCACCATGCACTGCTGCAGAGATCACATCTCTGTCAGACCTTTCATGGAAAGATTTCTCTTCACGACCTCAAGGCCGGCAACATCGAGCAAGCGTGCATCGTGTCAGCCAGCGAAGCAGCCAGAAAAGAAGTACTGGAGGCTCGCCCGAAGAGCGCCGAGCCTAAATCAGCGCGCGAAGAACGCTTCGCAGCACAGTCTTGGGATGCTCTTCGTGCTTCGGGCAACCCTGTATGCGATATCGCCCGTGAGTACGCCGATATCTTTCCGAAGAAAATGCCTGATGAGCTTCCAGCGGATTGTAGAGTGCGGCACAAGATAGATATCGTTCCAGGATCAAAGTATTGCGTGACGCGGCAGTGGCCGTTACCGCGTGATCAAATCATCGTTATTGATAAATTCTTCAAGGAACGCCGTAAGGCTGACCATGTCCGCAAGAGTATCTCGCCACATTCGAGCCCGACTTTATGTGTGTAGAAATCCACCGGCGTGCTCATTGTGCACGC